ACATTGCTAAAAACAAGATGGCATGGTCATCAAGTCATCGGCATGGTCGAAGGTATGGCTGGATTGTCCGACGGCATGAACGACGCTGGCCTTGCTATTTCTTTGACATTCGGTGGCAGGCCGGTTCGAGGAAAGGGCTTTGGCGTGCCCTTATTACTTCGTTACATTCTCGAAACCTGCCGGGATGTGCAGGATGCAATTGCAGCCATGCGTTCAATTCCCTCGCATATGTCTTACAATGTGACTGTTGTCGATCGGGAGTCGAATTATGCGACTGTATTACTGTCCCCTGATAGACCGATATTAGTCACCGAATCCAGATGGGCTACTAATCATCAACTCGGCGTCGAATGGCCTCAACACGGTCGGCTGACAAAAACCACAGAACGTGGAAATTATCTCGAACAAGCTTTACAGCGACCAGCAATAAGCGCGAATCAACTAGCCGCTGAGTTCCTGCAAACCCCTTTGCATACGCGTAATTACGATCAAGGTTTCGGGACTGTATTTACGGCAATTTATTCGACCTCGAAATGCCGGCAATGTTGTTGTGGGTCAATATCATCGCTTGATTTCACGATTTTTCCCACGAAAACTATATGTATCTTATTCCAGTACTGGTTCGAGCCCGACATGTTGAAGGACAATCAAGCTATGACGACAGCTTCAGCGATTTCGATCGCATTAAGAAAACGTAACTGCCTTCTCAACGTAGCCTGCCGGCCCACAAATTTATCAAATTTTTAATTCTAGTGATAAAACCGAGAAAACGAATGATCATTTCGCAATGCTGCATCAGATGCATCCTGCGGTTCATAACAATTATAAATCGAATGAATAAAGCGGCTCGAATCTATTGGCATTATCCATGGTCGAAATGTCGTCGTTGTTCAGGAATTAGTGCAACTGCGTCGTCGTACCATCAGCCCAGAAGATCATGCGAATTGAACAGGCTTCTCAATAATTTATACCGTCATTTTTGAAAACGGCCGGGAAGATATTTAATATGACGCAGTAGTGAATCCTGACGGCGAAATATTTAGCGCTATCGCAAGATGTTTCCGTTGCGCTTATGACAGGGCGTCACACCCGCGGGAAGATTTTGTGTTTTCGAGCTCGTACTGTAAATTGCCTGTCGATTTGTTTATTACCTATGTTCCCGAAAAACGTACACGGACACTAGTTTTCATTAGTCAGTCGATAATCAATCCAGTGATGGCGTAACTGTTGTTGATCGCCTGCGACCTGGCGAATTGCCACCATCCGGCCTATATTCAACTTGATTGTTTTTTCCATATCAATGTCTAGCGCAGGCGAGAATGCGTATTCCTCGAGTCTTGACCAGCAGGTCAGATACTTTTTTTTCACGACGGAATGCATGAACTTTTGATCGCATCAGAGTTGGAATTTGAAATCTGTTACGTCCACGTCACGGCGAGTTTACTCAAGCAGATATAAGTTAAATTGAACGACTTACGATGCGATTTTTGACACCAGTATCTGACTCACTCGCAGCCCCTTAGATAAGCCGACTAGAGCTCAATTTATGACTATATTCGATGAGCTTAAATTTTCGAACCACAGCGTTCGAATTCGCCGCAAATATGCTTCGCGCTCGCTTAACGGGGCATTTCACTTAGGCTTTGTTGGTTTAACCGGACGCCTATCGACACTCGCCCAGATCAGATATGTATTTTATAAATTCATTAGGATTTTGATTTCTGTTGAGCAGGGCACGTTCGTTCCAGACGGGTAAGAAAGAGCATTAATGCCATAAGACCCCTTTTAGAAACGTTCGGGGCAACGATTGAGTTCGTCGCAACTGTAGCGGCTGCACGATATTTAAACTTTGAGTCTCGCTCTAACCTTGCCTCATTCCTAATCTCATTACCATCCATCGCGACTCTATATGTCGGGCAACGTGCCTAATATTCATGAATGCGAGAATTTCTCGGAAGTCAGCAGTGCCCTGTAATACTTTCGCCACGCCATTATCTTTTATTAGTCCATCCGTTCCGCTGCTTTGCCCTTGTGCCGTCAATCAGACCTATCGCTCCGGCGCAGTATTCTATAAGGCCCATCAGCGCTTTCGGTCTACGCGATCGTTTGAGCCACGCGATTCAATAAACACGGTATTTGACGATAAGGCGTCTGGGAAAGAGGGTCGGCACAGACAATTAAGTCTTTTCGCACCGAGTGGTTCCAGGCATCGTATAGCGCGATGGGGCGCACCGTCTTCGGCTCAAGTAATCGACCACCGGAAAGCAGTCAATGAAACATGGCCCGTGCAAGGCGTTAAAATCCTTGCAGCCGCAGTCATGTAGCCGGACTCAGATGCGGTGTTCACAGTTTTCATGCCCACGGATAATGCGGGCAACAGAATGTTTCGATTTTTGGTAAGCGCCAGATCTGGCGAATTTTCATTTACTGCCTGTTGCTCATTTGGACGGACGTTTGAGTTTTCTTGGTTACGCGACTTTTCCAACCAGTGGCAGTTATGTAGCGGCTTTCAAGACTGATTCGCTTTTCAAAACGAGTGGTTAGATGCCTGCCTGGAGTTGTGCCAGTCCGGCGAGTGTCAGTGTATAACCGAGCCAATTTTTTGGACAGACCACGATAGTCTGGCGATCTTTCATTAAGATCTGATGGGCTGTCCGTCGCCGGAATTTGAAATGTGCACCGTCGGCAAATGCCCCTTCGGAAAAGCATGCCGAATATATTCGAAGAATCACTTTCCGCCCTCTCAGCCGAAAGCACATACAGATCGCAGCGCTCCGTAACCGCCGTTATCGAGTTAAAGAACGCCCAGTGACTGAACATGAATCAAAAGCGCCTGCTGTCCCTGACGACCCGTAGTTGCCTGCCTGCGTAAAGCGGTTGGTCTTCTCGCAAAACAACCTAAGATGATCTAGCCAGTTCATTGCTTTTACATGATGAATATGAATCGCCAGCCTGTAGTTTGTCCCATGTATGCCGCCAATTTTCGCGACTTACGGTTGAAAACCTGCTATCCGAACTGGTTTGATACTTAACCCAGCTACGCCCAATAGGCGCGAATACCATCGTGCAAAAACCATTTCCAGCACAATCCGCCTATTCTTTGATTGAATTGCGTATCCACTGAGCAATTCTCCTTGGCACATAATCTTGCAGCGGCTTCCTTCGCACGCGTAATAACAATTGAGATTCGACTTAGCTTCAAGTTTAATTCGCCGAAGCTCATTCACGCAGTGGGTAAGATCATTGCGATCAGGCGATGCCCATCGTAAGCTTGCCGTCGTCGACGGCCCGCCGGTCTCAGCCGCAGATTTGGCGCCGAAGCGTCCGCGATCCTGCCCACCATCGAGAGCAGCCTTTGATTGACTACAAACCGCCTCACAGCCGCCTCTCAGTTCAATAATCTCATCCGTCAATGGCTTAAACACGATGCAGTCACCGACCTGTACGCGCTACTCGCTTGCATTCAGGATTGAAATACGCGTCCGGCATAAACCAATCAAATTCCAGCCGCCTGCCGATTGCCCGATTATATCTTCGCGATGGCAACGCACGCCGTGGTACTTTCTGTCTGGGTGTCGATAAACGCGTGCGCGATACGCTCGTCGACTCGGCGACATAGGCAAAAACCGGGGCAAAAACAATCCTTATCACGGCGGTATTCCTGTCTGTTTGACTGAATATCCGATGACATCGTCGTCTGATATCGCCGCGTCGTTCGATTCACATGAAGATCTGCGGCCTATTCCTCACTATAATACAAAACCGGCAGATAAACGAGTGGCCACGAGTGGATTCGTTACCACTAATCACTTAGTGCCTGCTGCAAGGCGGTGCGCACGGCAAAAAGAATCGCTTTCATCCATATTTAAAAAGACATCAGTGATGCGTATGACGGGACGAATCGACCTATCAGCGCCCCCATTTGTGACTGATGTTAGCCACTCCGTCTGTATTTGGAGATACTTTCCGGCTGTCTGCTTCACATAAATTACAAATGAATGCTCCTGCTCCAGCGATTTCAATTTTCAAACATGAAGATTAATCTGAGTTGCGCTGAATAGTGCGAATTTCGACAATCGCGGCAATGCGCTTCTTCCGTTATCACGGTGGGACTCCAAGAGCTATCGGGCCTAAAACGTGCCAAGTATGCCCGCTTACGAGGTCACTTGTTGCGTGCTGCACAAAATCCTGCTTCCAACCTTGGCGAGCAACTTTCTCCGAGTATGCACCGCCCGGTTTTGTTCTGAAACCAACTTGCCGTCATCGTGCGGTAACAGCGAATCAGCGAAAAAGCTTCGAACCACAGTTCGATGCCGAAGATGATTGCTGCTTCTTCACGGTGTTATCCGCCTCTGGTTTGCTAGCATGAGTCGAAGGCGGCTGATTAGTCGGCAATGCCTGCATCATCGCACGCGCGAACCGCCTGCCTTGCTAACATCATATCATGCTATAACGCCCCTGAGGTTTAACATATGCCAGTCACTTATCCATGCCTGCTGCACTGCCGTCCGAGCGCGGAAACTTGAACTAACTATACAAGGCCTGAAATTCACGCGGTAGCAATCATCGAACCGCGCCGAATCCGACCAGTGGGTAGCCGGATTGAGCACCGGCATGACTTGTTGCCTGCCATGCCAGCTGTTTTTGCTCTAACCAGTGGTTCACCACCAATGAAGCCCGCAGGCGAATTAAGCTCTGTCGATATGGCGGCATGACGCTGTTTCGTTGCCCATTTTCACGAACATAACTCTCGCCCAAATCACTGCTTGAGTTAATAACCATCGAATTTCTCCTCTTACATCACAGCCAGGTGGCTGTTGGGCAAGTCAGTTACCAGCATGCAACCCGGTGAGTGGGTGATGCAAAAAGGTGGTTTGGCCTGTTCGAGTGCTACCTGCGGCGTCACACCACAAGCCCAGAATACCGGTACTTCGTTATCGCGGATGGTCACAGCATCGCCAAATTCGGGTTCGCTGAGATCGGCGATACCGATTAAATCAGGGTTGCCAAAATGAATCGGCGCGCCGTGTACCGATGGAAACCGTGTGCAGATTTGCACGGCACGGATGGCATCGGCGGCTAGCATCGGGCGCATACTGACCACCATCTTGCCGCTGAATCGACCCGCCTCTGCACAATCGATATTGGTTCGGTACATGGGGACGTTAACGCCCTCGG